GAATATAGAATACTTGCTAAAGTGATGATTGATCATCATAATGATCTGTTATACTTTGAAACAACTAAATATATTATTATATAATAATGGATATACAATGGATTTAGAGCATCCATTATCACTTATTTATTATATCTTTAGTACTCCTACTTGTCTTATGTCTTATGTTGAGGTTTTTCCGAGTTAGTGCAACTGAGCATTTTTACTCTTCCTTAGCTGGGGGGTTTTTACAGAGTCTCTCCCTTGTCTTTGACTAATTTATGTATTCCTCTGATTATTCGATGACTAGACTGATCTAAGTTCTAGCATACTGATACCGCCACTAGCATACCGGGCGCTACTGACAGCCTGTCAGTTTTCGCGTATAGCTTTAGACTCCTATTTATATGAATAGTATTATAATTGCTTTAGGATTTAGCATAATTGGCATGTTTAGTGTGTCGCGAGTTTGTCTGTTTCTTCATTATCATTAGTCCTGGAACTTTGTTCCTCTCTTAAAGCTTATTTTGCTAATTTTAGAATTAAGTCGTTAATTTATGTTTAAAGATATATGAAGTTTTTTAATACTTTTAGTAAGACCTAGTTGTCCGTTGTAGTGTATAAGCGGAAACCAATGGCTCTTAATAATTTATTAACAATTTATTTATAGCGCTTAAATTTTATTTTGCATGTTTTTAAATAATCTTAAAAATTGAAAAAAAGTGAAAGCAACAAATAATACAATTTAATAAATAAATTAAATATTATTTGCATATGCATACATCATGAATAATATATCTATTTTTATTGCAAATCCAATTAAATACAATCTTATTGCAGCATTGTGATGACAAATGGTTCCCAACTTTATATAAATTTATGTAAAGTCATTTATGACGAAGAAATTATTGTTAAACAATAAGATTATATTTATAATAATTAAGTTTTTAGGCTGATTATACAGTTTCAGGTATTACCGAATATCCATCATCAGTATTCTTTGAAGAAACTATAATCATAATCATTTATAGTACTTATGTCATAAAAAATGAAACTTAATGAGATCACATTTACAAATAAAAAGATACGTGAGTATAAAAATATACAATTCTGGATATAATTTTTAGAATATGAACAATAATGATTCCCTTTGTTTAGAAGAATTAATAATAAAAAACTACAGAAAAAACCACTGACAAATTTGCTAACAAAACCTTGACTAATATAACAAAATTATATATATTTTTATTATTGTTTATATATTAAGATCAGAATATGGTAGATAAAGATTTAAGGGTACTTAACGCGCCCAAAGACAAAAAGAAAGAAAAGAAGAAGCTATTGATTGGGCTGGCTGGAACAACTTAGATCTGTAATATCAACTAAATAAGTAAGCAATAAATATATTTTAGTCATGAACGACTATTGCTCTGTGTAGGCAGATAGCACAGATAATCAGATTTGGTTATTCCTTGTACCGAATGATTAGATTAAACTGATTTGCTGTAGTTGCAACTGATTTGCTGTAGTTATATATGATATAATATAAAAGTTTATATATATATAAAACCCTTGGTGGTACATGTTGTAATTTACCTATATGTGTAGGTATATGCTTAAAAGATATCTACAACTACATGAGCCTATATTTGTGGATGTATCAAAATAGGCCACCCAATAATAAAAAAGTAATATATGGGAGTATATTATTATTATTCCCAATTTAAAAAAATATTTGCATGAAGACGCTAAGTTCTTGAGTACACACTTAACGAGTACGTCAATATTTTCTACAAATATTTTTATATTTATAAAGAAAAAACTTCTTCAGCTTTTATTAACATTAACAATTTAAAAATATTTTAATAATTGCATGTCTCAACATAATAATAACTTGTAATTTTTTCTTATTTTCGCCGAACAATGTTTACATTTAAACTTTGCCGAAAGATCAAAGCAAAAAGCTAAACAAGTTTACAACTCAATAAATGAGACACCGAAAAAACTGCTAAAAAGACGAGCCAGCAGAAAACTTAAATACGCAAAGAAAATGTTTTTATAATGAGAAACATGCAATACAGTCAGTTTGGACGGGAAAAGAATTCGGAACCCAGAAAAAATTCTCAGTTAATTTAAATACCTTGAGCCTAATTCAAGTCTTAATACGAGTGGAACGAGGTCGATGGATTTCGATGTCCAAGCACTTGCAAAGGTAAGGTAAGCAGCTAAGGTAGAGTGAGGAGTTCAGATAGCTGTACCTTAGGTGAAGGAACTTCGTTAACTTAATTATTTTAAGGTACAGATATTGATGTTTGGATTCTTGGTCTAATTAAAAGAAAGATGAAAGTCAATTTTATAATTTAACCTTTTTTGTAATAATTTTATTATAAGTAAATGAAATTTTATTTTTTTTTTTCTGTGTTAGAATATTAAATTTCTTTATATGTTTTGTATCTAATCAGACATTGTCAGTTGCATAAGGTATATACGATTTTTATAACATAAAATATAAAATGTCATGCAGTATTTAGAGGGTGAAATATTGACATAATTTACCGATAAGGTGTCAATCACCTCAGTTACTTAACCGAAGTGCACGCATGAAAATGGAATAAACGTCTTAAGTTCAAATAATTTTTTTTTGTTTTTGTACAAATATTGCATCGGAAATGCATGAAAGGTAATTGAACTGTTGGCAGAAAGAAAGATATCCAACAAAAAAATAAGGTATATTTACTTAGATATACGGTATATATACAGTACTTCTTATGTATGCATATATATGTATAGTATAATAAAAATGATATGTTTTAATAGTAATTTACAAAGAAAAATGTAATGCTTTTACTATAATAAAAATAAAATTCAATTGAACACTAATATTGTCATAAGATCCGAGCTATAACTCTACTAGGAATACTAATACCTCTTAGAGGTACACTAATATCTCTTAATATCTCTTTTATTAATAGTTAAGTAGATCTTTTAAAATTCATAGGTAATTTAAAACTGGTCAACAATAGAATTTGTTAAAATGTGTTTTGCGTCCCATTTAATGTGTCACGCCTCTTAAGGTGACTTGGACACACCATATGAATGATGATTCAAAATTCAAAAAAGCAAATTCAAAAAACAAAGAATGCGGATCTTGAGTACGATCGACCTCAAATCGATAGTTAGACACAATTAAACATTAGATAGACAAAATAAATTTGGATATGTCAAACGTATGAATTTTAACGGATTTGAGTAATTCTTAAAAGGACAGTAAGTTAGTACAAGTAAGTTTACAATATATTAATTCTTTAAGTTCATGTACCTCTATAATATAATTTTAATAGATAATGTTACAAAAAATTATAATATTAAGTTGTTTGTAAAGAAATTTTGAAAAACATTTATATTTATATTTAATATAAATATATTAATAATAAAAATTATTTATTATAAAACATATTTCATCCGAACATAGTTATGCCATAAATAAACAATATGTCCTTTTACATTATGAATATTAAGGGTAAAAAGATATAAAATATGTAAATTATAAAGAAAAATTTTCTTAACCATATTTAATACTATACTTACATATTGTATTACATTGAATACAGGAAATGTTCATTAAGTACTTTAATATGTAATGAAGAAGAGTATTGGTACCTGTACTTAATATTCTACATGAGTAAATTAGTGAATAATAAGTATAGCGACACCCTCGAATAACATAATCTCGGGTTTTTTGTTTTAAGTTCATTCATTCAAATTTTAGGTATGGACAATATTACTAATTACCTATAATAATCAATGAATGAACGAATTAAAACAAAGGACCTATCTGAGAATATTATTAATGTTACCTGTAACCAATTTTTTTTGCTTTTGCTAAAAAACCCATTCAAAAATTCTAGGCACGGTACGAAGTTCTTGACATTCAGTGAAAATAAATTCATTAATAACTCATTCATAATATCTTTCGGATATTTTGAAGGTTGTATAAATATAATTAGTTGTATAACTATTTATGCGAAAAAAATCCATTGAAAAGTTTATCAAATCCTTAACTAAGAAAAAATATATTATATCCTTAAATATGTAATTTAATATTTTATATATATGAGTACATGCAAACGTAGTTATTAGTAAAAAGAATTTATTAAGTTTATAGATTAAAGATTTTATTCATTGAAAAAATTTTAAATTGCTTTATAATAATATAGTTATCATAGATTTGATTACAAACCCATAAAAGGATTGTGGGTCAAGATTACTAAGCAAATGTATAAAAATAAAGTATATCACAAAAAATTCTTAATGTAATAAAATAAATTAAAAAATAGAAAAACAGGTTTCGTGACACTATGAATATAATATTTCTAATATTATATGACTAACCGAACAGTAGATATTCAAGTTTTCGAATAAAATTCTTAGTATCTCTGGTTGACGGGAGTAGAAGTCCCTGATTTAATGTTCCCCTTATCTCGGTCAAAACTAGAGTTTTACAAAAACTGTGACTACAAGTTTCAAAAAACTAAAGCATGTTCAAAATTTTTTAATTAAAAAATATTTATTATTTATTTATTTGTGAATTAACACTAAAATTAATTATAAATTTTAATTTAAGAAAAAGGAACTTGATTACTAAGTCCTTCGCTCTAAAAGATATCAAAATCATTTAATGGATGTGTTTTAAAGAAGCTTATTTGTAGACAAAATAAAAAACCTCAACAATATTTATTAAGTCCTACCCATCTATGAATTGCCCAACTAAGTTGAATAACTATGAATAAATTACATAGTAAACTTCTTCGCTTTACTCATGTGAACGGACAATGCTCAAGATAGCTCATATATGTATATAAATGTAAGATGATGAAATCAATAAAGCGAAAACGCAAATAATGAAAAATATAACTGACAAACAAAACTTCCGTTATGAATAAAAATTTATCAAAAAAAAAAAACAAAAATCTGTATAAATATTTGCTATGATAAAAAAATTCTAAATCTTTAAAACTTACCCTGCAATGAGACAACACGACATCCATCCTGTTTAAGACGTTTATGCAAAACATTAATTGTGGTATCAATAGCGGCTCCACTACCATTTCCGCAATTTCCTCCACCGCCACCGCCGCTAATATCAAGTGGTGCGCCTAAACCAACTGGCAGGCCGGATGCAACAACATCCGCTGCATGCTGTTGCTGCTGTTGCACACCCACATTGTTATAGAGTATAAATAGACTGATTTTATAGGCGCTCTGTATGCGTTCCTTTAGTTCGGGTGATTTAATTGTTGATAACAAATCAATTTTTCCGGCTGCAAGACGGCGCAACATAATTGTCGGTATGGAAAAATTAACAGCAGAACGTATATGAGATTCACTATACTCGTGCGAACTGCGACAATCCAATATTATTAAATCTTTTGCATTTGACGTTGAGGAAGAGGAAGTGGCACGCAACTCTGATTGCAACCACTCCTTTGTTACATATTCATACTCTGTTTCAGGCATGTTTATTTTCTTCTTCTTCTTTGACTTCTTTGTTAAATAATTTTTATATATTTACTTTTAAATTTAAATTTTATTTTTGAATTATTTAAATGTTTTTTTTTTGTTTAGTCAAATATTTTAGCGGAAGGTTTTTGTTTGTTTACTTTGCAGTGTTGAAAAACGTGCTTTTTATGTTTGTTCTTTTCTTTTCTTTTATGTTTAATTATTTTTTCTTTTTATATATTTGTATTTTTTTAATTATATTTTGTTTATATTTACTGTTATTAAAATAGTTATTTCTACTTATATATATGTATATATATTAATGACTGTATATAAATTTTTACTGATTTCTTCTTCTTCTTACACATAAGATATTCTTGTACGTTGTTTGAATGAAACTTTGTTTTCATTAAATTTAAACACTAGAATTTGTTTTTGTTTTTATATGTTTCTGATACCTTTTAATGTTCTAAACCTTTAAATAGTAGTTTTATAAAAAATATATATAAAAATGCTTGTAAATAAACAAAATTTAATTTTTAAATTGTATATTTGTAATTTTACAATTTTGCAAATATTATCGCATTTGTTGTTTTCTTATTTCTAAACAAAAACACAATTTTTGGCTGCGGCCGCTGCTGCTGACACTTCTTTCTCTCGCGCTTTAATGCTTGTTTTTCGTGTTTTTGTAATTTTGCAGCATATTTTCAAATTTTTATGTGCACAAATCAAAATTTGTTGAGCGTTTTCTTCGTTTTGTTTTTATTCAACTTATTTTGTAAATAATTTTTAAAAATAAAGTTACACTAAATAAGTATTTATTATTCACTTTTTATTAATAAAAATTTGTAATATTTATTTTTTACATCATCACTTTTCTCATTTTTTTCTACACTAGATTTTTTTTGTGGCTTTGGAGAAATAATATTTTTTTTTTGCTTTCTTGTAGATTTGTTATTCATGCAAAAACTGAAAGTATTTTAATTTAATATTAATTAAATTTCACTTAAAAAATAATTATGCATTTAAATTTATTTGCATTTTTATAAATATTCATTGCCTCTACTGTTATTCTTAAAAACATTCTAAATCAATTCAGTAAATCACACGCGCCGCATTAATAACAACCAACAACGACGACAACCACAAGCAAAGTGTTTTCAAGCCAAAATAAAGAACGCTCTCAAACCTAAAAGAGTTGCAAACAAGCTCTCTTGAATTTATATTTTTTTTGTTTTGCTTGTGTTTTTTCCATCACAGCAACAACAAACACAAGCAACTTGTTGTATACATTATTATATGTACATCAAATGCAACAAATACACAAAAGCAATGTAGAAAAATTCTATTCAATGGAGTGTAGAGTTTTGGTTGAATTTACAATTTTACATATTCACTCTGAAAACTCTCCGAATATGTTGGCAAGAGTTTTTCTGTATTCTCGTGCGGTGTGGTGTAGGGGCAGCAATTGAATTTATGTTTAATGAATTTTAATATGAATAAATAATATTAAAATTATATTAAATAAAAAAATATATATGAAATAACGAAATAGTTCAATATTAAATAAACTTGTGTTTTTATGAATACTGAAGAATTATTTATTTTGTTAATTTATTGTAAAACTTAAAAGGTAATATATAACATGTTAAGGTGAAAATGACAACGACCCACAGTTAAATTAAACTGTGTAATCCAGCTGTATAAATTTTAGTTATAAGAATTAAAATATAAAAAAAGTTAAAATGACTACAAGTTAATATTAATAAAAATTACTAAATACATCAGATTTATTGAATTGGGATTACTGCAAATGATTAAGTTATGGCAGTGGTCCTCCGCACTGAAAGCCCATAACACTGTTATCTACGAGTTCTAAGTATTAAATTCACACACACCGGTCCACTACGGACTTAAATTGGACTGTGTAGAACAGATATTAAATGGGCTCAATGCTTCTCTCCACTGAAAGGAACAATCTCCTTCTAGTTATCTTTTAATTGCAAGCATAAAATCCAAAGTAAAGCACTGACGATTACTGACTTAAGAATTGAATCAATAGTTAGTGTCAATATTTTTATAAATAATTTACTAAATTTATATGTTTCTTTTAAACTGAAATTGAAATGATCTATTATGATTGCAATAGCTCACTGCCCTAAAACTCTGAACTGCGTTTCTTCTAATGCTATGTTCATTTTATGATAAGCAGTAAAATTGTGCCATATATTTACTCAGAAGTAGTGATGCACAGACCAACTCCATCTTAAACAATCCTTCAGAATCGTAAATCGCTGCTATTCGGATTACATAATACTCCATAACAGCGTCTTAAAGAAACTGAGTGTCATTTGCAAAACATGGGTATACATTTATGAATGCTTCTTTTACGGTGAAAACTTTTTCAATGATTTAACATTTTTTTTATCATTATATTGAACAACTGAATCTCTTTTGAATGGACATTGCTCTTGAACGCATAAAAATTAAAAAGATACTGTAGATGAAAATATGTGTTAGCATTTAATAAATTATAAAAAAACTTATATCAATTAACTTAGCTTACTTTTAACTATGACAAAAGTATAGGTGATATAAAATTTAAAGTATAATGTGTTTGAATATCTGTTGTCATTGTAACATTTTTATGTGACTTATGTACATATTTCTTCTGACGACACTAAAAACACACTATAACATATGTTAAATTATGTGAACTCGAATGAATAGATTTGGTTTTTTTATGCGCGTGTCGCAGATGAGTGTCCCCTGATCATATACCCTGCTGCAGCAAGAGAATCATGTATTCATTCATCTTTATGCTGTAGATTTCTTAAATATCGAAAAATATACATAATAAATTATTATAACTCATTCAGTTTTCTGAATGTAGATTAGGGTTAAAATATTGATATAACATTTCTAGCATTCTAAGTTAACTTAAAGCGCTGATTAGTATATTTAATATTATTATAATCATTACACTAAACATTTTATCATTATTATTATCGATGTAATTGCAGTCTGAACGTCAAATTATTCAAAATCATATAGGTTTTGGTGAGTGTCCATTTTGATATTATGACTAATATAATAGTGTATACATCCATATATCTTTAAATTTTTATAATTTAACAGAGAATACCACAATGCCAAACAACAATTCGAAACAACACCACTGTGCAATAATATATAAATAATATATAGCATTTCAGTACTCATTTAAATAAGACAGTCATGTACTTTCCAATGCACCTTATTTTTCTGCACACTACATAGTCTACACAAAATCACTACGCTCTTTTTTAAAAGTTCATTGATATTTTTATGTGCTGGTATGCGTGTTGATTCATGGAATTTTTATTTACTTGCACACACATTCCTAAAACATAAAGAATATGTAAGCGGAGACTTTTCATATTTCTCTCTTTACCTGTGCTGCGCTACTTCTTTTCTTTGAATCTCGTTCTATGTAAAAACACCATCAGAGCGAATAGTGTAAATTTATCAATCAAGTGAATGAATGGATTTGTTTGTAAATAAATACTTCAGCAATTTAAGCATCCTTTCACTATTTTAAAGGAAAGAGGACTTTTATTTAAAATTGCACGGAAAAAAAGGTCAACATAGAGGTAGCAAAAAAAAAAAAAAATTAAAATATAGATACATTAAAGACATTTTATGTGAATTTAAAACAGGTCTAATATTAACCTTGAATTAAATTTGTTTGAATAATAATAATTGTGTATAATCCTTTTTCATTTTTTCTTTTTATTAATATATATTTTATACATTATTTAATTTATACTTTTTTGAAGCAATTATCAGTTATCGGGTTAATATAATATCCAGTATCTTCATGTAGTCTTCATATAAACGAATAAGGTCTGGAACAATATTGAGTTTATCAATAGCCCTTATTTCTGTAGGTTTGCTTAGAAGACTTTCATCATTAGTAGCACAATAAAACTCAAAGGTCACATCATTTAATCATCCCTTTTAAAGATAAAAATCAGGTAAATAACCGTTCTGTACTTTTTTTGAAACTTTTAGGTATTATGGGTTGCAACATAAATATCATACCAGTTTCCGGTCATAGAAATATTGAAGGCAATAAAAAACAGAAAATAAATGGTACTCTAGAGGTACCAGTATATCTTTCTCTAGAGATCATTAAGAGAAACACCTACTTCCGTTTAATGCAATCACCTGATAATAAGTGATACTCAACACAACATGTAAAAAATTCTGACCTTCTTAAGTCCAACCAACTTTTTAACAAAGATTGATGCCACTCTACCAGACCAGTTGCAATTCTTTTCGGTCACTGATGTACGGGAACCCACATCAAGAGATCAAGATTTCCGTTTAACACACATTGTAAAAATTGCGAATATTTTAACTTTAAGATATTTTATATAAGACTCGGAAATATTCGCTAATAAAAGGAAAAGATTTTTAGAGTATTACTTTCTTGATAGCCTGTCAGATTCAGCATCTATAATAACAAAAATCTGTTGAACTACATAAACTGAACTGGATGTTTTTACAGGGAGTTCTTGAGAGTGATATGGTATTAAAACCGCAAAAAATTGCTTACTATAGAAGACAGATCTGCTTTTCAGTCATTTGCAACTAAACAACCAACCTGGAACGGAAAAGTTTTAGAACAGATAGACGGATATATTGTATTAACTATAAACTGTTTGGTTAAATACATGTGTTAATAGGAAATATAAAATTTTGAAATTGCTGGAGGGAGATTAGGCCTTCTACCCTTTGTAGTAAAGCAGATATATGTATGTAACTTTTAACCCTATTTCCCACTCCATTATTTATATATTATTATTATTAATAGGCTGTGTATGCACTGCGACCTGAAAGATATTTTCTGCAGTCATTAGCACAACTAGTCCAATGCCAAAATTTTGAAGAATTTTGTCACAATTGTTGGCCGTACTTTAGCTAGATATTTAGGGCTCAAAACTCCATTGCCTAGATAGTTAAGTGTGCGTCTTGCCACGGCTGAGCAGATACATAGAACGTGTTTTGCTGCTTCCTGTTGCTTTTGACAGAGTCGGCAGGAGTCGT